TCACAAAATCTCGTCATAATATATGCACGAACTGTTCTGAACTTTTTCGGATAGGAAGCATGCGGTCGCCTTAAGGAAACTATGGGTGGGCAAGGTTGTGATTCTCTGTTGCCATTGTTCGGTTCAAGGGCTTTCACACCTCTCACTTCACACTTCAGTGCTAATTGAAGTTGCAGCCGGGTCTGTTCTCTCCTAGCAGGCTTGGTAGAACTGTAGTCCTAATTTATGATTCAGTCTTTATTAAGTAAAATATCTAGAGATTATTGTAATGCCTTTTTACTTCTTGGCTTTAGAAGTAGCTTCAGATTGAACATTACTCAGTTCCAGGTTGGATGGTATTTTCAGGTTTCGTGAGCTGTGCTTGTTCTGCTGGTTATTGGTTTGCTAAAAAGTTTTCTGGATAGTCCTGAATAGTCCTTGGTGGTAGGAGTCCTTCCATGTAATTTGGTACAAAATCCAGGTTGAACAGTCGTGGTCAAAAGTTTTGGTCTTCACAAAGTTCGCTGCTTCAGATGTTACATTTACATTTACGTCATTTAGCAGACGCTCTTATCCAGAGCCACTTACAAATTGGTGCATTCAACTTATGATAGCCAGTGGGACAGCCACTTTTTATTTTATAGGGGGGTGGGGGAGGGGGGGGGGTAGAAGGATTACTTTTCCAGGTATTCCTTAAAGAGGTAGGGTTTCAAGTGTCTCCAGAAGGTGGTCAGTGACTCTGCTGTCCTGGTGTCGTGGGGGAGCTTGTTCCACCATTGGGGTGCCAGAGCAGCGAATAGCTTTGACTGGGCTGAGCGGGAACTGTGCTTCCGTAGAGGTATGGGGGCTAGCAGGCCAGAGGTGGATGAACGTAGTGCCCTCGTTTGGGTGTAGGGTCTGATCAGAGCCTGCCTACGTTCCCCTCACAGCTCCGTAGGCAAGCACCATGGTCTTGTAGTAGATGCGAGCCTCAACTGGAAGCCAGTGGAGTGTGTGGAGGAGCGGGGTGACATGAGAGAACTTGGGAAGGTTGAACACCAGACGGGCTGCAGCGTTCTGGATAAGTTGTAGGGGTTTAATGGCACAGGCAGGGAGCCCAGCCAACAGCGAGTTGCAGTAATCCAGACGGGAGATGACAAGTGCCTGGATTAGGACCTGTGCCGCTTTCTGTGTAAGGTAGGGTCATACTCTGCGAATGTTGTAGAGCATGAACCTGCAGGATCGGGTCACCACTTTGATGTTAGCGGAGAACGACAGGGTGTTGTCCAGGGTCACGCCAAGGTTCTTTGCACTCTGGGAGGAGGACACAATGGAATTGTCAACCGTGATGGCGAGATCATGGGGCGGGCAGTCCTTCCCCGGAAGGAAGAGCAGCTCCGTCTTGCCGAGGTTCAGCTTGAGGTGGTGATCCGACATCCACACTGGTATGTCTGCCAGACATGCAGAGATGCGATTCGCCACCTGGTTATCAGAAGGGGGAAAGGAGAATATTAATTGTGTGTCGTCTGCGTAGCAATGATAGGAGAGACCATGTGAGGATATGACAGAGCCAAGTGACTTGGTGTATAGAGAGAATAGGAGAGGGCCTAGAACTGAGCCCTGGGGGACACCAGTGGTGAGAGCATGTGGTGCGGAGACAGATTCTCGCCACGCCACCTGGTAGGAGCGACCTGTCAGGTAGGACGCAATCCAAAAGTGAGCAGCGCCGGAGATGCCCAACTCGGAGAGGGTGGAGAGGAGGATCTGATGGTTCACAGTATCAAAGGCACATCGTATGCAAACTGAGTGGCAAACTGGGATGTTGTGCATAGACAACACTGCAGCACAGAGACACTCACATGCACCTACATACACTACAGCAAACTTTGACTGACATATGTTTTCTACCTTTCCTTGGCTGTTGTGTGTGGGTGTGAGAGAGAGGTGAGTGTGAGATCTAGCAGCACTAATGCCTTGTTCACTGTGTTTGACAAACAGCAACAGGTTGAAACTCCCTCCAGATCCCCCGTGACACACACACACACTTTGCAGGGAATATGTAATTCCTGTGGTATCCATGAAAGTACTAATGTCCATCTCTAACTCCTCCCCCTCTCTCTCTCTTCTCTCCCTCCCACTATACTTCCCACTCTCTCTCTTCTTTCCCTCCCCCTCTCCCTCCATCTCTTCTCTCTCTAGGTTCCAGAAGCATGTTCACACCTATAGGGTCCTACCAGATGAAGAGGGATTCTTGGCAGTCCAGGTACCACTATAAACCGCCCTCCATACATACACACACACCAGTGGGTGTGGGTGGGTCTTTTTCTATGCATACCTAGCACTATGGATGTAACTGTTAGTATGTACATGTATATCTGTGGAAAGCAGGCACTGTATGTATGTGTGTGTGTTTTGTAAGTTCACATGGATGTATTTTTACTAGTGTGTTTGTTGTGTGTTTGTGTGTACGGTACTTGTATGTGTGTCTGGATCAGTAGCAACTGGCAGGCTCTGGTGCGTGTGTTGGCTCTGAGCTCACACACACACAGCGGTCTCTTTGTGCTCTGTGTCCAGCAGCTGGGGGAGTCACCAATGCCCTAGCAACACACACACACACTCAAATACTGTAATACCTAACCCTAAATACACACCACTAATCCCCTTTCCACTACCCCTCCACTCCTGGTCCCTTGCCTGGAATCCACACTGATAGCTTTCGCAAATCATTTGATTTACCCAGTGCTTCAGTGAAATTAAACGTCACTGAAACGGAGTGAATGTGGCTGCCGGGGTCCCCACCCGTTCACAGCTGAGGGCCTCTTGGTATTACAGCTTCCCTTACGCTGCTGTAAACCCTCCACCCACAAATATCAATGAACAGAAAGTGATTGTGCCCACTTTCAGATGCTCCGAGCTGCCGCACCAAGACCAATATACTACATGCCTACCTACCTACAGTTGAAGTCGGAAGTTTACATACACCTTAGCCAAATACATTTAAACTCAGTTTTTCACAATTCCTGACATTTAATCATAGTAAAAATGCCCTGTCTTAGGTCAGTTAGGATCACCACTTTATTTTAAGAATGTGAAATGTCAGAATAATAGTAGAGAGAATTATTTATTTCAGCTTTTATTTCTTTAATCACATTCCCAGTGGGTCAGAAGTTTACATACACTCAATTAGTATTTGGTAGCATTGCCTTTAAATTGTTTAACTTGGGTCAAACGTTTCGGGTAGCCTTCCACAAGCTTCCCACAATAAGTTGGGTGAATTTTGGCCCATTCCTCCTGACAGAGCTGGTGTAACTGAGTCAGGTTTGTAGGCCTCCTTGCTCGCACACGCTTTTTCAGTTCTGCCCACACATTTTCTATAGGATTGAGGTCAGGGCTTTGTGAAGGCCACTCCAATACCTTGACTTTGTTGTCCTTAAGCCATTTTGCCACAAGTTTGGAAGTATGCTTGGGGTCATTGTCCATTTGGAAGATCCATTTGCGACCAAGTTTTAACTTCCTGACTGATTGTCTTGAGATGTTGCTTCAATATATCCACTTACTTGTCCTTCCTCATGATACCATCTATTTTGTGAAGTGCACCAGTCCCTCCTGCAGCAAAGCAGCCCACAGCATGATGCTGCCACCCCGTGCTTCACGGTTGGGATGGTGTTGTTCGGCTTGCAAGCCACCCCCTTTTTCCTCCAAACATAACGATGGTCATTATGACCAAACAGTTCTATTTTTGTTTCATCAGACCTTTCTCCCAAAAGTATGATCTTTGTCCCCATGTGCAGTTGCAAACCGTAGTCTGGCTTTTTTATGGCGGTTTTGGAGCAGTGGCTTCTTCCTTGCTGAGCGGCCTTTCAGGTTATGTCGATATAGGACTCGTTTTACTGTGGATATAGAAACTTTTGTACCTGTTTCCTCCAGCATCTTCACAAGGAGAAGGTAGGCCTTGAAATACATCCACAGGTACACCTCCAATTGACTCAAATGATGTCAATTAGCCAATCAGAAGCTTCTAAAGCCATGACATCATTTTCTGGAATTTTCCAAGCTGTTTAAAGGCACAGTCAACTTAGTGTATGTAAACTTCTGACCCACTGGAATTGTGATACAGTGAATTATAAGTGAATCTGTCTGTAAACAATTGTTGGAAAAATTACTTGTGTCATGCACAAAGTAGATGTCCTAACCGACTTGCCAAAACAATAGTTTGTTAACAAGAAATTTGTGGAGTGGTTGAAAAACGAGTTTTAATGACTCCAACCTAAGTGTATGTAAACTTCCGACTTCAGCTGTACCTACCTACCTACCTACCTACCTACCTACCTACCTACCTACCTACCAATATATTACCTAGCAATCTCCTACCTACCTACCAATATACTACCTACCTACCTACCTACCTACCAATATAATACGTACCTACCTACCTAACAATATACTACCTACCTACCTACCAATATACTACGTACCTACCTACCTACTACCTACCAACCAATCTACTACCCTACCTACCTACCTACCTACCTACCTACCTACCTACCTACCTACCAATCTAATAACTACCTACCTACCTACCAATATACTACCTAGCAATCTCCTACCTACCTACCAATATACTACCTACCTACCTACCAATATACTACCTAGCAATCTCCTACCTACTTACCAATGTACTACCTACCTACCTACCTACCAATATACTACCTACCTACCTACCTAACAATATACTACCTACCTACCAATCTACTACCTGCCTACCTACCCAGCTTCATTCTGAATGTGCTGTGCAGAGTGTGCTCTGTCTGTATTTCTTTGAAGTACCCACTCTCTCTCTCTCTCTCTCTCTCTCTCTCTCTCTCTCTCTCTCTCTCTCTCCTCTCTCTCCATCTCCTCTCTCTCTCTCTCTCTCTCTCTCTCTCATCTCTCTCCTCTCCTCTCTCTCATCCCTCCTCTCTCCTCCTCTCTCTCTCTCTCTCTCTCTCTCTCTCTCTCTCTCTCTCTCTCTCTCTCTCTCTCTCTCTCTCCCTCTCTCCCAGACATCTCAGGGGGTGCAGCCTAAGCGGTTTAAGACCCTCCAAGAGCTGGTCCTGTTGTACCTCCAGCCCAGCCAGGGACTGGTCAGCACTCTACTGTACCCTGTAGACAGAGAGGAGAGCATCCCAGAGGACAGGGACTACTCAGGTATCCATCTCTCTGTCTGTCTCTCTCTCTGTCTCTCTCGCTCCATCTCTCTCTTTATTTGTCTTTCTGTCTCTAATTGGTCAGATGGGGAAGATGAGAAGCCGCCCCTTCCTCCTCGTTCCGCCTCCACCTCCACACCACCTACAGGCTCCTCCCCAGAGACACCCACTGACAGGTACAGCACACACACACACGCACATACACACAAACACAATTTTGCGTGACCTGGTTAAAAATCCTGGCCCTGGCGCTAGTAAAGGGTGGGTCTGATCTACCTGTTTAATTAGATCAACTGATCCTGGTTGTAGAGATTCAGTGAATCTGTACAGGGCCTAGCTTAGAACAACCCTCAAGAAGCCTCCCCCTCCCCCCTCCCCCCTCCCCCTCTCTTCTCTCTTTTTCCTCCTCTCTTGAAATCCTGAGATATGATGTGGGGGGGGGGGGACTAGTCCATTGCAAAATCATGATCTAGTGGACCGTGACTCATACCCAAACTCCACAGGAACAGTGCGTGTAGTTTGTCTTGCTTAGACAGTGAGTCAGCAGCAGTCTGATCCCGAGGAAGTCTGCGACTTTGGAAAGTTGTTGTTGTCATGTCTTCTTCAGTGTTCTATACTCACAACAAAGGCCAATCCCCCTCTGCCCCCCAGGGTCTCTGTGGCATATCCAGAGGGTTTAAGACCCATGTCTGTTCTATTGACACGGATTGTGATGTTGTTCCGTCCTAACTTAGCGCCCCTGCTGCTAACGGCCTGAGCACCATTTCCCATGAGTACCTGAAGGGAAGCTACGCTCTGGACCTGGAAGCTGTCAAACAGGGAGCCAGCTCTCTTCCCCACCTCAACAAGACACTGGTGTCCTCCTGCAAACGCCTCAACGGGTGAGACACACACACACACACACAACTCTCTCACTTTCTCTCGGTGACACATGTACACACACTCAAAATCCTCTATGTGTGTGTGTGTGTGTGTGTGTGTGTGTGTAGGGAGGTGGATAAGGTTCTGTCTGGGCTGGAGATCCTGTCCAAGGTGTTTGACCAACAGAGTTCCTTCATGGTGTCCAGGATGATACAGCAGGTACTCTGCCTTTTCTGTCTTATTTTTTCATGTGTGTGTTTGTGTGGTGAGGTAAAATGTCTCTGGAAAGCACAGGAAGCTTAGACATGCCGCACCTTGGTTTCCTCCTGAACACACACACACACAATGCTCCTGAGTGCACTGGGGGTCATGAGGAAAGAGGTATTTGCCTCCCAGAGAGAAACAACTAGAGTTCCTGGAGACAGCTGCGCTTGAGAGAGTCACGCTGTAATCATACACACACATATAGTCTTAAAGGGCCAGACCTCCTTTCCCCTCAAACGTTCCTCATGTGATGGAACAACACACCATGGGCTCACGTCTGCATAGCATCTAGTGTGTTTGTGTGTGTGTGTGTGTATGTGTGTGTATGTGTGTGTATGTGTGTGTGTGTGTGTGTGTGTGTGTGTGTGTGTGTGTGTGTGTGTGTGTGTGTGTGTGGTTTGTTTGGGTGGGTTTGTTTGTGTTGGGGGGGTTTTTTGGTGTTTGTGTTTTGGGTTTGGGGGTTTGTTTTTTTTAAAATGTGGGTTTTTTGGGAGTCAATTTTTGGGGGAAAGAAGGTTGAAGGGGAAACCCCCCCAAAACCACCTTTCTTGAGAAGGGTTTAAAAGGGGGCCCCCAAAAACCCCAAAACCACACCCACACGCCAACAACCCCACACAAAAACCAACCCCCCCCAACCCCCCAAAAAACAAACAACCTTCCACTTTCAAAAAAACCCAAAAAATGGTGTGTTGGTTGGGGATTTTCCCTTGTGTGCCCCCCGGGGAGGGGTGGGGTGGTGGGGGGGGGGTTTTGGTGGGGTGGGGGGCCCCCCATGGGGAAATTTTTGTTTTTTTTTTTTTCCCCCCTTCTGTGGGGGCCCTTTGGGGGGGGAAAAGGGGAAGGGGGGGGGGAAGGGAAGGGGGGAGGGGGGGGAAAAAAAAAAAATGGGGGAAAAAAAAAGGGGAAAAAAAAAAAATAAAAAAAAAAGGGGGGGAAAAATAAAAAAAAAGGGGGGGGGGAAGGGGGGGGGGAAAAAAAGGGGGGGGGGGGGGGGGAGGGGAGGAAGAAAGGGGGGAGGGGGAAATTTTGGCTGGGGAAGGGGGGGAAAGGGAGGGGGGTGGGGGGGGGGGGGGGGGGGGGGGGGGGGGGGGGGGGGGTGGGGGGGGGGGGGGGGGGGGGGGGGGGGGAGGGGGGGGGGGGGGGGGGGGGGGGGGGGGGGGGGGGGGGGGGGGGGGGGGGGGGGGGGGGGGCCCGTTTGGGGGGGGGGGGGGGGGCTTTGGGGGGGGGGCCCCCCCCCCGGGGGGGGGGTTTGGGGGGGGGGGGGGGGGGAAAAAAGGGGGGGGGGGGGGGGGGGGGGGTTTGCAGGGGGGGGGGGGGGGGGGCCCCCCCCTTTTTTTTCCCCGGGGGGGGGGGGGGCCCTTTTTCCCCCCCCCTTTTTTTTTGGGGGGGGGCGCCCCCCTTTTTTTTTCCCCCCCCCCCCCCGGGGGGGGGGGGGGGGGGTTTTTTTTTTTTTTTTTTCCCCCCCCGGGGGGGGGGGGGGGGTTTTTGGGGGGCCCCCCCGGGGGGGGCCCCGGGGGGGGGGGGGGGGGGCCCCCGGGGGGGGGGGGGGGGGGGGGGGGGGGGGGACTGGGGGGGGGGGGGGGCCCCGGGGGGGGGGGGCCCCCTGGGGGGGGGGGGGTTGGGGGGGGGGCCCCTTTGGGGGGGGGGGCGTGCCCCCCGGGGGCGGGGGGGCCTTTCCCTTTTCGGGCGGGAAAAGCCCTTTTTGGGGGTTTTTTCGTTGAGCCCCCCCGGGGGGGGGGGGGGGTTTTAAAAAAAAGGGCGGGGGAAAAAAAACCAAAAAGGGGGTTTCAGGGCTAATTTTTTTTAAAAACCCCCCGGGTTTTTTTTCCCCTTCCTTTTTTTCCCCTTTTAATTGGGTTAGGTTTTAATTCCCCCTTTTTTTTTCCCCCCCTTCAAACCCAAAAAAAAAACCCCCCCCCGGGGCCTTTCTTTCCCCCCCCCCCCCCCTTAAATTTTTTCCCCCCCCCCCCCCCCCCCCCCCCCCCCCTTTTCCCCCCCCCCCCTTTTTTTGGGCCCAAAAAGGCTGCCAATCTGGGTGGGGCTTTTCCCAATTTCCCCCGGGGGAATGTTTTTGCCCGGGGGACCCCTCAAAAGAACTTTGTCTGTTCGTGACATCATGGATTTTGGCGATCCCCCCTCCCCCTCTTTGGGGTTAAAGATGGACCAGTGTAGATACTGACCCCTAAAACCGTGCTCAGGGTTTAAAACCTGATTTTTTTTTTTTTTTTTTTTTTTTAAAATGGGGATAATCATTGTCCCGGGGGCATCACTCCTAGGTCAAAATAAACCTTTTTTGGGTCATTTTTTTTAACCCCTTTTTAAAAATGGCATTTTAACCCGTTTAAAATGAAAAGGGAAACCCCTTTAAAATTTAATTTTAAAACCTTTATCCCCAAACCCCAGTTATAAAAATGAGTGTAAAGGAAATTCAAACACCTTTTTTTTAAAATTAACCCAATTTAAAAAGGGGTTTTTTATAAAGTTAAAACAGGGGGTTTTTAAAATTCTCCGGAAACCCTTGGGGAGCTTCCTTTTGAAAAAGATGGTTTTTTCCCCCCCGATCCCCCCCACTCTAAAACTCCTTTTTAGAAAGTGTAATACACACCTTATACTGGTTGTTCAGGTTTCTAATTACACACCTTATACTGGTTGTTCAGGTTTCTAATTACACACCTTATACTGGTGGTTCAGGTTTCTTAACCCTGTAGCTAATGTAACCCCCCGGTCCCTCTCTCTTTCCCTCTCTCTGTCCCTCTCTAGGCTCTGAAAGCTGTGCAGGATATGAGTTGGTCCACTCTCTCCTCTCCTCCTCTCACACGCCACAGCAAAACCATCCCCGTACAGGCCTTTGAGGTACATGCACCACACACACACCACTTGAGATATACCCCTCCCCCTCCCCTGTCCCATTGGTCCACAGGCTGACCAATCAGTGGGTGTGGCTCGGAATTCCTAGATTCTCCAGGAAGTGTTGTTATGCCCTGGGAGCCAGTCAGATAAATGAACAGTTCTGTCTGTTCTGTGACATCATGGATGTCATGGCTGTAGTCCTACCTCCCTCTCTCAGGATGTGATGGTTAGATGACTGATGTGACCAGAGTGTAGATACTAGAGCCCTCAACGCTGTGCTCAGTGCAGCTGATAACTACTGAGTGGGTATGATGGAAGGATAATCACTATCAGTAACCAGGAAGTGGACACCTCAGCTAGCTAGCGCTCTAGAGATGTAAACGCAATGGCTGCCTGTGGTCATGTTCCATTTCAATTCACTATGTTCAGGACATAGGCATTTGAATTCCGTTTCAGGAATTGAAAATGGAAACCTTCCGTAATTAACTGAATTTAAATGGAACTCTTTATAAACACGCACTCTAGCTGAGTTGACCAATGAGCCTGCTGAACGTGATCCAAATTCAATACGTTACCATGTTTAATCACTCTACACCCAGATTAACATCACTGGATGTGTTACGTGTTTATGAAGTTAGAAACAGCTGGATTTGAGAATCTGAACGTCCATTGGTCATAGCTCATATGGAGCTGAACATTGATTGACTCAATGATTGGTTTTCCACTCCCAGCCATGAAATCCACTCTGAGAGACAGTGGCCGTGTTCGAGAGCATCAAATCCGTGATGCATTGTGGGTAAATTGTGATTTACTGACTGATCTATAAACAACAATCAGTAGTTATTTATGATAAAAGGTGATTTGTAGTCGCCTGCACTGTCGGTTGTGATGTGGAGCACGCCCAATAGCTATATCTCTGTCTGACCACACTAGACTGTGGAGGCAGCAGACACAGATTAACAATCAGTCACCTCCACTCCCCTGTGTGGTTTATACAGTGGTTGAGGGGATACGTCAGATGGTTTCACATCCACTGTGTGCGTGTGTGTGTGTGCGTGCGTGTGCATGCATGTTGTGTGTGTGCTTCATGACCTCCTTTCTAGACACTTCCTGTTTGCAGGAGAAGAAGTGTGTTGTGCTCATGGGTGAGATGTGGGGGGGGCTGGGGTGTTCCTCATAAAACCGCTATGTCAGATTCACCGCAGACAGAGCAACGGCTGTATCAAACCTCCATCTAGACAGAGCTATACTGTAACTGTACTGACCTAATAATAATAATAATAATAATAATCTGTGACGTTGATGTATTTTATTGTTATATTTGTTATATGTATCGTTATATTTATTGTTTTATTGATACTAAAAGATCTAGGATACATTCCACTGAGAACCCAGATTAGATTGTTTTCATGGAATGCTTGGTGCCAACATGGAGGATAGTATAGTGAACTTGTGGCGCTGACTGTGCATCGACCCACTGACTCCCCCTGGTGGTGACACCTGTAGTATTAAAGCTCTTATTTCACACTGAAGAAGCTGTAGTTTATTATGTGGATAAAGAATTCTGGTTTTGTCCTGTCTGTCTCTGTGTCTGTCTGTGTGTGTGTGTCTGTCCGTCCGTCCGTCTGTCTGTTTGTAACCCCTCTGTCCCTTCTGTCTGTCTGTCCCTCCAGGTGAAGTTGGATGTGAACCTGGCAGACCTGACTAAGATAGGGAAGAGTCAGAAGCACAGTCTGTCTGTGGACGTGGAGGGAGGGAGGCTAGTGGTGATGAAGAGGTTGAAGGATAACCAGGAGGACTGGAACACCTTCACACACCACAGGAGTGAGGACACACAGTCACAGACACACACACACCACAAGAGTGAGGACACACAGTCACACACACACACAACACACCACAAGAGTGAGGACACACAGACACACACACACACCACAAGAGTGAGGACACACAGTCATAGACACACACTACAAGAGTGAGGACACACAGTCACACACACACACCACAAGAGTGAGGACACACAGACACACACACACACCACAAGAGTGAGGACACACAGACACACACTACAAGAGTGAGGAAAACAGTCACAGAAAACAACACACACACACCCCAAGAGTGAGGACAACACCCGTCATAGACACACACTACAGAGTGAGGACACACAGACACACAAAACACACCACAAGAGTGAGGACACACAGGGCACACACCACACACCACAAGAGTGAGGACACCCCGTCACAGACAAAACACCCCCAAGAGTGAGGAACACACAGACAACACACACACCACAAGAGTGAGGACACACAGTTACAGACACACACCACATGAGTGAGGACACACAGACACACACACACACACCACAAGAGTGAGGACACACAGTCACAGACACACACCACAAGAGTGAGGACACACAAACACACACACACACTACAAGAGTGAGGACACACAGTCACAGACACACACACACACCACAAGAGTGAGGACACACAAACACACACACACACAACAAGAGTGAGGACACACAGACACACACACACACCACAAGAGTGAGGACACACAGTCCAGACACACACACAAGGTGAGGACCACACAGTCACAGACACCACCACCAAAGGGGTGAGGACACAGACACCACCCACCACACCCCACCACAAGAGTGGGGACACACAGTCCACAACACACACTAAATAGTGAGGACACACAGTCACAGACACACACCACAAGAGTGATGACACACAGTCACAGACACGCACTACAAGAGTGAGGACACACACACACACCACAAGAGTGAGGACACACAGTCACAGACACACACTACAAGAGTGAGGACACACAGACACACACACACACCACAAGAGTGGGACACACAGACACACCACACACACCACAAGAGTGAGGACACACGTCACAGCCCAAACACTACAAGAGTGAGGACACAGTCACAGACACACACACCCCACAAGAGTGAGGACACACAGTCACACACACACACCACAAGAGTGAGGCCCACACCGACACACACACACCCCACAAGAGGGAGGACACACGACACACACATAAAGAGTGGGGGACACACAGTCACAGACACACACACACACACCACAAGAGTGAGGACACACAGTCATAGACACACACTACAAGAGTGAGGACACACAGACACACACACACACCACAAGAGTGAGGACACACAGACACACACACACACACCACAAGAGTGAGGACACACAGTCACAGACACACACCTACAGAGTGAGGACACACAGTCACGACACACACACACCCCCACCAAAGAGTGAGGACACACAGCACCCACACCCCCCCAAGAGTGAGGCACACAGACCACCACAACACCAAAAAGGTGAGGACCACAGTCACAGAACACACCACATGAGGGGGGGGACACACAGGAACACACAACACCACCCCAAGAGGGGAGGCCACACAGTCCAGACAAACCACTACAAGAGTGAGGAACCCCAGTCCCAGACACACACAAAACACCACAAGAGTGGGACACAAAAAACACACACACAAACCCACAAGAGTGAGGACACACAGACACACACAACACCACAAGAGTGAGGACACACAGTCACAGACACACATACAAGAGTGGAGGACACACGTCACAGGACACACACCACAAGAGTGAGGACACACAGACCAACACACACAAGAGTGAGGACACACAGTCACAGACACCCACTACAATAGTGAGGACCCACAGTCACAGACACACACCACAAGAGTGATGACAACAGTCACCAGACACACACTACAAGAGTGATGGACACACACACACACCACAAGAGTGAGGACACACAGTCACAGACACACACTACAAGAGTGAGGACACACAGACACAACACACACCACAAGAGTGAGGACACACAGTCACAGACACACACACACACACCACAAGAGTGAGGACACAAAAACACACACACACCACACAAGAGTGAGGACACACAGACACACACACACACCACAAGAGTGAGGACACACAGTCACAGACACACACTACAAGAGTGAGGACACAGTCACAGACACACACCACAAGAGTGAGGACACACAGGCACACACACACACCACAAGAGTGAGGACACACAGTCACAGACACCCACTACAATAGTGAGGACACACAGTCACAGACACACACCACAAGAGTGATGACACACAGTCACAGACACACACTACAAGAGTGAGGACACACACACACACCACAAGAGTGAGGACACACAGTCACAGACACACACTACAAGAGTGAGGACACACAGACAACACACACACACCACAAGAGTGAGGACACACAGTCACAGACGCACACCTCAAGAGTGAGGACACACAGACACACACACACACACACACACCACAAGAGTGAGGACACACAGTCACAGACACACACACACACCACAAGAGTGAGGACACACAGTCACAGACACACACACACCACAAGAGTGAGGACACACAGTCACACACACACACACACCACAAGAGTGAGGACAGTCACAGACACAAACACACCACAAGAGTGAGGACACACAGTCACAGACACACACACACCACAAGAGTGAGGACACACAGTCACAGACACACACTACAAGAGTGAGGACACACAGTCACAGACACACACACACACACCACAAGAGTGAGGACACAGGTCACACACACACACCACAAGAGTGAGGACACACAGTCACAGACACACACACCACACCACAAGAGTGAGGACACAGTCACACACACACACACCACAAGAGTGAGGACAGTCACAGACACACACACACACCACAAGAGTGAGGACAGTCACAGACACACACACACCACAAGAGTGAGGACACAAACACACACACCACAAGAGTGAGGACACACAGACAGACACACACACACGACTAAAGTTAGGACACACAGTCACGCACACGACTAAAGTGAGGAGACACACACTCCTTCTCTCACACTCGTTCTTTCTCTTCCTGTTTCTGTCCCTCAGTCCGTCAGCTGATAAAGTCTCAGCGTGTTCAGAACAAGCTGGGCATCGTGTTTGAGAAGGAAAAGGAGAAGAGCCAGAGGAAAGACTTCATCTTCACCAGCGCTAAGGTACGCACACTAGGAAGCATGCATATATACTGTATATTCTAGTAAATGTTTGTTTGCAGATTCACACTATGGTTTATCTCTCTCGCACACACACATTGTACTAAAGGCTGTGAAGAAATAAACACTTTGGCTGTGAATCAAGCCATTAAATGTCTATTAGCCCCATGTTGCATCCTACACAGAGCTGTACTGTGTGAATCCTCATCTTCATTAAAGCGTCAATCAGCAGTTGAAACAATAACCAAGCGCCCTACCCGCCACTGTTTCGCTGAAAGCTGAGGATAGAGAAATATAACCACTCTAAAATTCATAGACAGAGCTATGGATGCAAGGACTGACCATCCATGATATCAGAATTAGTTTTTTTGTAATTTTTACCCCCTTTTTCTCCACAATTAGTGTGATTACGATCTTGTCTCATCGCTGCAACACCCCAACGGGCTCGGGAGAGGCGAAGGTCGAGTCATGCGTCCTCCGAAACATGACCTGCCAAGCCGCGCTTCTTAACACCCGCTCGCTTAACCCAGATGCGCCAATGTGTCGGAGGAAACACCGTTCAACTGATGACCGAAGTCAGCCTGCAGGCGCCAGGCCCGCCACAAGGAGTCGCTAGAGCGCGATGAGCCAAGGAAAGCCCTCCCGGCTAAACCTGGACGACGCTGGGCCAATTGTGTGCCGCCCTATGGGACTCCCGGTCACGGCCGATTGTGTGCCGCCCTATGGGACTCCTGGTCACGGCCGATTGTGTGCCGCCCTATGGGACTCCTGGTCACGGCCGATTGTGTGCCGCCCTATGGGACTCCTGGTCACGGCCGATTGGGACTCAGGCTGTAGTGACGCCGCAACACTGCGATGCAGTGCCTTAGACCGCTGCGCCACTCGGGAGGCCCAAAATGAGTTCTGACCATGTTGAGGCTGTACATTATTTGTTTACAAACATTGGAGTAAAACAAGCTTATATTTGGGGTTCTGATGGGGAACGACAGTTGAACTAAGCTGCTGAAGCAAATAAGTTACATTCTTCAAGAAACAATGGATAAATATCATTAGTTTAGTCCAAACATGGATGTAGCTACTGCAGATTACCCCTTTAAACCCAAACGAAGTCCACCTGTCTGTGCCTTGATCAGCACCTGGGAGCGAACACATTAAGCAATAGGACAATTCCACAGTAACAAAGTGATGCTGAACAAAGTGATGCCAAACAAGAACCAATGATTGCAAAGTTAAACAAACCATACAACTCTATGCACAAGGACTACATTTAACAACTTCCACTGAAAAATAAAAACACATTTACTTGAACAGAGGAGATGCAAAGCCCGGTAACAGAATTCCAGTTTGTGCTGTTGGTGCCATCATTCTGTTACCAAATTTTGCATCTGCACTGTTCTTCAAGTAAATGTGTTTTCAGCATCACTCTTATCGTGGAATTGCCCAATACCAAACCTAAGAATATACAGTCCACCACGTCCTCCATTACACACTGTGGCAGACCAGGGGATTTGATCAAGATGTTTACACAGATCAGACACAAGTGTGATACCTCAATTTCAAGGTGTTTATTTAAACCAATAAAGAAAAAGAAAAGAAACAGGTCTCCTCCAGGAGACCTCTTCCGGGTCACCGCCTTCTGGGCTCCGGGGAACGCTGTCTCCTCTGGGGTAGAACACAGAGCCCCTCGGTTCTATCAGACCGTGAGGACGTCTGTCCAGTAGCAACCACTCACTACCTCCAACCCTCCCGGCAGCTTTATGGGCCCTGTACGGCTGGTGAGCAATCAGCCCCTTGATTACTCACCAGCCTCAATCAGCCCCAATTAGTCCTGGCCAGAGGACCCGTCGAGACCTGGCACGTCCAGAAGAGGGAGACACCGCCACGTGATGTAGACTCCGTCTGTCACCAGGCCTCGATGAGTCTCCCCCTGGTGGCTTGTCCGCGGTACACCACAACACACACACACACACACACACACACACACTCTCACACTAACTGTACACTGTGCGTGTTGTCAGAAGCGGGAGGCTTTTTGTCAGCTGCTGCAGCTGATGAAGAACAAACATTCCAACCAGGACGAGCCAGACATGATCTCCATCTTCATAGGGACCTGGAACATGGGTGAGCACACACACACACACACACACACACACACACACACACACACACACACACACACACACACACACAATACATGCTAAAGATCACCTTAAAATAAAATAAAAATGAAGAGAATATTCCATTAGGTCTAGAACTCATCTCAACCGTAGACCAATTTTGATGTCTGGAAAACTCTGACAAACATTGATTGTGGAGTGAACTATCGCTTGAATTGTCTAATTGTCGTGTGTGTGTGTGTGTGTGTGTGTGTGTGTGTGTGTGTGTGTGTGTGTGTGTGTGGTGTGTGTGTGTGTGTGTGTGTGTGTAGGCTCTGTGCCCTCCCCCAAGGCGGTGGGTTCCTGGCTGTTGTGTCGGGGGCTGGGGAAGACGCTGGATGAGATGACCGTAACCATTCCTCATGACCTCTACGTGTTCGGAACGCAGGAGAACTCTGTGTGTGACCGTGAGTGGGTCGACTCACTCCGCACCGCACTCAAAGAACACACAGAGCTGGATTACAAACCGGTGAGAGAGAGAGGGAGGCTGAATGGGGCTCTGGTCAATAGTAATCCACTACATGGGGAATAAGGTGTTGTTAGGGATTGTTCCGTTGGGGAATAAGATGTTGTTAGGGATTGTCCCGTTGGGGAATAAGATGTTGTTAGGGATTGTCCCGTTGAGGAATAAGGTGTTGTTAGGGATTGTCCCGTTAGTCTAAATTAGCCTGATCTGAGAAGCGGCATGGCAGAATGGTTGGGTTTACTCCTGAGGTTAACTTCAATGTTATGCTGTTTTGCTCTCCTGGGTTCTAGATTGCAGTCCAGACTCTGTGGAACATTAAGATAGCGGTGCTGGTGAAACCAGAACATGAGAACCGCATCAGTCATGTGGGAGTGTCCAGTGTTAAAACGGGCATTGCTAATACGCTGGGTAAGACCGCTCTCTCTCACACCAACACACACACACACACAGTTACAAACAATTCACTATATTCATGCTGTATGTTTGTCCTTTCTTGTTGCTAGGTAACAAAGGGGCAGTGGGCGTGTCTTTCATGTTTAATGGAACTTCCTTCGGCTTTGTGAACTGTCACCTGACATCAGGCAACGAAAAGATCGGCAGGTACGCACACACACACACTCCTCTTCTGCAATCAAATGTAAAATTATATCATTGGGTAATGTATCATTATGTGAAGTTTGACAGGACTCCATATTTGCACCAAACTCGCCCTATGGCCATAAGTGGTGTACTTACCAGGGGATAGGGTACTATTTGAGATGCAGCCCCTTGCCTTAAACTGCTCACCACCCTTCCCCTTCAACCCTTCCCTGACCCCTGACCCCTGCAGGAGGAACCAGAACTACCTGGATATCCTGCGGCTGCTCTCTCTAGGAGATAAACAACTGAGCTCCTTTGACATCTCTTTACGCTTCACACACCTCTTCTGGTTGGGAGACCTCAACTACAGGCTGGACATGGACATACAGGTACCCTGACACACACACACACACACACACACACACACACACACACACACACACAGAGTGACACATGCACACACACACACACACACGCACAGAGTGACACATGCACACACACACAAACGCACACACCTAAACCCATGCACAAACACACACGCATGGACGCACACACACACACACGGCGACACATGCACACACAGACACACAAACACAGAGACAGCTGCACACACACACATGGACCATTGCACACCCTCTCTCTCTCTCTCTCTCTCTCTCTCAGGAGATCCTGAACTACATCAACAGGAAAGAGTTTGATCCTCTGCTGAAGGTGGACCAGCTCAACCTGGAGAGAGAGAAGAACAAGGTGTTCCTGCGCTTCGGTCAGTCACATACACACACACACCACACACACACACACACACACACACACACACACACACACACACACACACACACACTCCTTCCCCTCATTCGCTATGCACTCTACTGTATTCTGTGAAAGACTTTGTTGAAAGTCCTTTGTTGTAATGTGTGTTTGTGTATACTCTGTTACAGCGGAGGAGGAGATATCGTACCCACCCACCTATCGTTATGAACGCGGCTCTAGGGACACATACGTGTGGCAGAAACAGAAGGCCACAGGGGTACGTACACACGTACTCCCTTTTTGGGGAGTAAACATTTATTCCCATACAAAATCCTATTTTCCCAAACCCTAACTCCTTGAAGTGGCAATCAGCAGTAGAAACCATAAAGCGTATTCCCCGCCCCTGTTTCGGTAAAAAGCTGAGGGATGGGGCTGGAGAAATGTAACCACCCTCAAATTCATAGACGGAGCTATGGATGCAAGGACTGACCATCCATTATATCAAAATTATAGTTTTAACCATATTTTTAGGCTATATAGTGTTTGTTTACGTTTACTTTGTTTACAAACATTGGAGTAAAACAAGCTTATATTTTGGGTTCTGAGGGGTACGACATTTGAACTATGCTCATGAGGCATTTATAAGTTATTCTTCAAGAATCAATGGTTACATATCAATAAAGTCCAAAAATGGATGTAGCAACTGCTGATTGCCCCTTTAAGCCTAAAATAGCATTTTAACAAATTCAGGACATAAAAAAGTCCTGACTTTTCAAAAATGGTCTTGTTTTCTTACCTTGTCAGGACATTGTGGTGACTTGTTAGGACATTGTGGTGACTCGTCAGGACATTGTGGTGACTCATCAGGACATTGTGGTGACTCGTCAGGACATTGTGGTGACTCGTCAGGACATTGTGGTGACTCGTCAGGATATTGTGGTGACTCGTCAGGACATTGGGGTGACTCGTCAGGACATTGGGATGACTCGTCAGGACATTGTGGTGACTCGTCAGGACATTGTGGTGACTCGTCAGGACATTGGGTTGACTCATCAGGACATTTTGGTGACTCGTCAGGACATTGTGGTGACTCGTCAGGACATTGTGGTGACTTGTTTGTCAGGACATTGTGGTGACTTGTTTGTCAGGACATTGTAGTGACTTGTTTGTCAGGACATTGTGGTGACTTGTCAAGACATTGTGGTGACTTGTCAGGACATTGTGGTGACTTGTCAGGACATTGTGGTGACTTGTCAGGACATTGTGGTGACTTGTCAGGACATTGTGGTCCTGATAAGGTGAGAAACATACACAAATACACTCCGGCTCAGATGGAGAGATCTCTGTTCACTCACATCTCTTCTTCCTCCTTCTCTCTCGCTCCCCCCTACCCTCCCTGCCCCCCCCTCCCTCCCCCCTCCCTCCCTCCCTCCCTCCCTCTCTCTCTCTCTCTCTCTCTCTCTCTCTCTCTCTCTCTCCCTCCCTCCCACCCTCCCTCTGTCTCTCTCTCTCTCTCCCTCCCACTCTCTCTCCCTGTCTCTCTCGCCCTGCCTCCCTCTCGCTCTGTCGCCCCTCCCTCCCTCCTCCCTCTCTCTCCCTCCCACTCTCTCTCTCCCTCCCACTCTCTCCATCTCTCTCTCGGTCTCTCCCTCTCTCTCTCTCCCTCTCCCTCCCTCTCTCTCTCCATCCCTCAGATGAGGACTAATGTCCCCTCTTGGTGTGACAGGATCCTGTGGAAGTCTTACCCTGAGACTCACATTGTTTGTAACTCCTATGGTGAGACCCTGCATCTTCAACAACTCTGTGCAGCTATTTACTGTATAACAATATTGAACACCTGACGTTCTGTTTCAGTTACCTTATACCCCTAGTGCTGGCGTTTAGCACATAATGTGATGAAATCATGTTTCCCTCTCAGGCTGTACAGATGACATGGTGACAAGTGACCACTCCCCAGTGTTTGGTACGTTTGAGGTGGGGGTCACCTCACAGTTCGTCTCCAAGAAAGGTACGGCCACTCGCTATGACGACCACATAAGGGTTTTTTAATCAGCTCACTATAACCCAAGGGTTTTTAACATTGTACCTCTCCCCGACCCTCTCTCCAGGTCTGCCTAAGTCCTCTGAGCAGGCTTATATAGAGTTTGAGAATATTGAGGCCATAGTGAAGACGGCCAGCAGAACCAAGTTCTTCATCGAGTTCTGCTCTACCTGCCTGGAGGGTGAGACACACACACATACACACACACACTTACACAAACACACACACACACCTACACACACAAAGTTCTACTCTAGAGACTTAATTACATATTTCCACTCTCTCTCTCTCCTTCTCTCGCTCTGTCCCTCTCCCTCTCTCCGTAGAGTTTAAGAAGAGTTATGAGAATGACAGTCAGAGCAGTGACAATGTCAACTTCCTGCGTTTGGGCTGGTCCAATAAGCAGCTGACCACGCTGAAGCCCCTCCTCTCTGATATAGAATACCTCCAGGACCAACACCTGCTGCTCACTGTCAAATCACTGGATGGATACGAGTCCTATGGTACCACTGGCTGTGTGTGTGTTTGTTTGTGTTCTGTCTGCAAGTGTGTGTGTGTTGCAGGGTTTTCGTTAGGAAAATGTGGCGTCGGACATTTACCGGACCCATATGCATTGTGGGTGCGTAACCTGATTAGGGCGTCCACCCACGGTGCTCAGAATGACAGAAATCACATTTACTGTATATTATGGTAATTCATATTAACAGAACATGCAACTCGAGGATGCAACAGCGTGCTTCTTACCGAATTCCGATGCGCACTTTAAAGATGTTGGAAGAACAGTCACATTTACTTTTCCTCAGCCAAAAAGACGAGTAACAAACAGCCAAAAAACTAGTGTATGTCAATCTACAATCCCCATAGTATAAAAGTTCACCGACTTCTATTGGTTAGCTTGTCGTTCTGTGCGAGAAAGAAATAGCCTATTCCAAACAGACTCTGGGACAGTTGTGGGACGATAGATCCCAAATTCATACAACCAGTAGGCCTCGGCGACATCCCAATGCTCTTTTTAAAGCATTGAGGCTGATGCAACAGATCAGCACGTTTAGCTTGATAAATTATCTATTCACATTATAAGCGCAGCAAGGCTACAGATGTCAGATCTTAACTTGATCAGTATTTGGTTGCGAAAGAATTTTCCTGATGTATCAGGAAATTCAAATGAGCCTTGTGATTGGCTAAAAAATGAGCAGTTCTCTTTCTCTCCATGCGGGGGCAGTCGAGTCATTGGGATCAGGGCTCGTTATTTTTAAATAAAGTTCTCTCTCGCTCGCTCAAACGCTACAGACCTAGGTCCTATTACTGCAACATTCAAATGGACAAACATGTATCTGAAATGCAGCCTACCGGCCCTTCTGTCACAAATAATGCAATCTCCTGATTGACTTGATGTAGTAACACATTTTAAATATGGACAGTCCAGGGTTATTTTGCCGCCGATCTTGATAAGAAATGACCATACCAGTAAATAGTAAACAGAAATAATAATAACAGTACAGCAACATTAGTTTCCATTCATACAAAGTGTTGGATACATTTCCACGGTAGATTGGCCATGGAACGGTAAGTCCCCACCCCCACAAAAAAATAATAATATATATGTATATATATATATATATATATATATATACAGTGGGGAGAACAAGTATTTGATACACTGCCGATTTTGCAGGTTTTCCTACTTACAAAGCATGTAGAGGTCATAGGTACACAAAGCATTTTATCATAGGTACACTTCAACTGTGAGAGACGGAATCTAAAACAAAAATCCAGAAAATCACATTTTATGATTTTTAAGTAATTAATTTGCATTTTATTGCATTACATAAGTATTTGATCACCTACCAACCAGTAAGAATTCCGGCTCTCACAGACCTGTTAGTTTTTCTTTAAGTAGCCCTCCTGTTCTCCACTCATTACCTGTATTAACTGCACCTGTTTGAACTCGTTACCTCTATAAAAGACACCTGTCCACACACTCAATCAAACAGACTCCAACCTCTCCACAATGGCCAAGACCCGAGAGCTGTGTAAGGACATCAGGGATAAAATTGTAGACCTGCACAAGGCTGGGATGGGCTACAGGACAATAGGCAAGCAGCTTGGTGAGAAGGCAACAACTGTTGGCGCAATTATTAGAAAATGGAAGAAGTTCAAGATGACGGTCAATCACCCTCGGTCTTGGGCTCCATGCAAGATCTCACCTCGTGGGGCATCAATGATCATCAGGAAGGTGAGGGATCAGCCCAGAACTACACGGCAGGACCTGGTCAATGACCTGAAGAGAGCTGGGACCACAGTCTCAAAGAAAACCATTATTAACACACTACGCCGTCATGGATTAAAATCCTGCAGCGCACGCAAGGTCCCCCTGCTCAAGCCAGCGCATGTCCAGGCCCGTCTGAAGTTTGCCAATGACCATCTGGATGATCCAGAGGAGGAATGGGAGAAGGTCATGTGGTCTGATGAGACAAAAATATAGCTTTTTGGTCTAAACTCCACTCGCTGTGTTTGGAGGAAGAAGAAGGATGAGTACAACCCCAATAACACCATCCCAACCGTGAAGCATGGAGGTGGAAACATCATTCTTTGGGGATGCTTTTCTGCAAAGGGGACAGGACGACTGCACCGTATTGAGGGGAGGATGGATGGGGCCATGTATCGCGAGATCTTGGCCAACAACCTCCTTCCCTCAGTAAGAGCATTGAAGATGGGTCGTGGCTGGGTCTTCCAGCATGACAACGACCCGAAACACACAGCCAGGGCAACTAAGGAGTGGCTTCGTAAGAAGCATCTCAAGGTCCTGGAGTGGCCTAGCCAGTCTCCAGACCTGAACCCAATAGAAAATCTTTGGAGGGAGCTGAAAGTCCAAATTGCCCAGCGACAGCCCTGAAACCTGAAGGATCTGGAGAAGGTCTGTATGGAGGAGTGGGCCAAAATCCCTGCTGCAGTGTGTGCAAACCTGGTCAAGACCTACAGGAAACGTATGATCTCTGTAATTGCAAACAAAGGTTTCTGTACCAAATATTAAGTTCTGCTTTTCTGATGTATCAAATACTTATGTCATGCAATAAAATGCAAATTAATTACTTAAAAATCATACAATGTGATTTTCTGGATTTTTGTTTTAGATTCCATCTCTCACAGTTGAAGTGTACCTATGATAGAAATTACAGACCTCTACATGCTTTGTAAGTAGGAAAACCTGCAAAATCGGCAGTGTAAGATGGCGTAGCAGTGCGGTCGTGGTTTTTTTCTGTGTCCTAGTGTAAATAGCCAGTTTCTTTTTTTGTTGTTGTCTATTTTGTATATATTTCTCAATTTTTACTTTTCATTCTTTAACTAAATATACTTTCCTGCAACCCGCCTCACCCAACGTGGAAAGGATTATATTATTTCTTTATAACTTTCATCAAGAACCTTAAGCTGAAACTAGTCTAGCTGCAACTGAATGGCTACTTGCTATTAGCCACCGTTAGCGTCTTCACCATTGTCCGTGGCCTACACTATCCACCAGCCAGCTCTAGCTCTAGCCTGGACAATTCGTCGGCCAGTCTGCACAGCGTGCTATCGACCCAGAGCATATCGGACTTTCTGCCTGGAATCACTGGACCCTAGCGCCGGATCATCGCAACCAGCTAGCTGCAACCTGTTGTTGGCTAATTACCATTGCCCCATAGCAAGCACCAGTTAGCCTTGAGCTAGCCTCAGGCCCATCTCCCGGCTATCTACCTCTCTGTCAACCGGACGAGACCTCCTAGTGTTGACACTGAGCCCCGCCGATCTAACACGACTGGTTTGCCGACGAAATCGTCTGATGTGGTTTCAACAGGCTTCCCGTTGCGACGACCACGAAGATCCATCTGCTAGCCCCGGCCCGCTAGCACACGCAAACTACAACTGTGCTTCCTGCTAGCTGTGCTGAAGCACCAATTTGAACTGCTCTCGGACTCACATATTGCTGTTCACTGGACCTTATGATCACTCAGCTGCACAGCTGATGCCTGCTGGACTGTTCCTTTACACGGTACCCTGTCCTGTTTATTCTGTTTAGCCTCAGCCCAAACTTTATCGCTATTACCAGTTGTTGTCTTAGCTCTCTCTAATAACACCTGTGATTGCTTTATACCTCTCTCCCATGTCAATATGCCTTGCCTATTGCTGTTTGGGTTAGTTCTTATTATACAATTTCACTGTAGAACCCCAAGTCCCTCTCAAACTGCCTTAAATAGTTCCTTTGTTCCACCCCCCATACACGCCGAGACCGGCTCAATCGGTGCCTCCAGTGATGCTATCTCTTTCATTGTTACGCTTAGGTTTACCTCAACTGTACTCATATCCTTCCATATCCTTTTCTGTACATAATGCCCTGAATCTTTTCTACAACGCCCGGAAATCTGCCCCCTTTATTCTCTGTACCCAACGCACTAGAAGACCAGTTCTTAAAGCCTTTAGTCATATCCTTATTCTACTCCTCCTCTGTTCCTCTGGTGATGTAGAGGCGAACCCAGGCCCTGCAGCCCCCAGTATCACTCCTACTCCCCAGGAGCTATCATTTGTTGACTTCTGTAACCGTAAAAGCCTTGGTTTTCTGCACGTAAATATCAGAAGCCTCCTTCCTAAGTTTGAGTTTTTCACTGCGTTAGCACACTCCGCCAACCCTGATGTTCTAGCAGTGTCTGAATCCTGGCTTAGGAAGGCCACCAAAAATTCTGACATTTCCATCCCCAACTATAACATTTTCCGTCTAGATAGAACTGCCAAAGGGGGTGGAGTTGCAATCTACTGTAGAGATAGCCTGCAGAGCTCTATCATACTATCCAGGTCTGTGCCCAAACAGTTTGAGCTTCTACTTATTAAAAAAACTGGCCATTGTTTTATTAGAAAAAATATGGCAGTTTATAATGTTCACTTATGTACATAGGATGCTGTATATAGCATTTTAACATATTAAAACAAAATA